CTGTGGCTCACTCTTGAATTCTTTCCTGCGCGAAGCCAAGGATCCACACTTGGCGGGACACGCCCCAGGGGCTCAACCGAAGCCTGGGACATGGCCCTCCCTCATGCCCCACATCCATTTTTCCAGCATCAGCAGGACCCCCATGCAGCAGGTAAGACCAACCTACATTATTGATCTCAGATATGCCCTCCTCACTCAGGGGTAAAATAAATCCCATTAACTATAAAGCTTTATTTAAAAAAACAAAACAAAACAGGGCTTCCTCCTCAAGTTTCTATATGAATCTTTTTTATGTGACCTAAGGCAGCAATTCAGGCACAGAATAACCCTGGCCAATGAACTGAAGCTGATCTGAATGCCTTCCAGCAAAGCAGTGTCATAACGCTCAGGGGAGACACAAAAAATTAAAATCCCCAAGTGTGCATTTCAGCTATAAGCGCACCGCAAGCAGGACACACAGTAAGCCCCACGGGTTAACGAAGCCTGCCCCGTTGCCCTGCCCTAGGATTTCCTGTTCGGTTGGAAGTTTTCAGTTGAGTCCTTGGCTTTAGAAGGACTGTGAGGAGGCAGTCAGTTCTAGTTTTGCATGTTTTTCAGGAAAAGTGCAGAAGCCGGGGCCACCCACACTGTCCCATTGCCAGCACTGTGAGTAATCAGGTTTCAACAGTCAGTCTGAATTCAGAATTTTCTCAGCTGCTTGGAAAGGACGCAGGAGGGGTTTTTCTTCTGAAAGAGGAGAAGGCTTCCTAAAATCTTTTTTAAAAAACAAAGATCATGAATGTGCCGCCGACCACCAGCCCCTCCACATCTCTCCATGCCTTCCAGATACCACTAGGATTTTGGTTTTTCTCCCATTGTTGCCAAATCGGTGTGTCCTTTTTAGCCATTATAATTTCATATTTTTTAATCATTTCCTGCTCTTATCCAGACCTTTCATCAGGAAGAGTTGTATGCAAAAGGAATAAAACATATTTTCACATTTTTATACCACTTAACTAAGAAAGACACAGCACTTTCAGGAATTGATCAAGAAAAAAATCTTGAACTTTCAAAAATTTCAAAATAGATCTTCAAAACCTCCCTCAACTGGTGATGCATCCAGTGAGCACCTAGAAAAAGATTAATCCCTTTTAAGGGGTAGCTGCCCTTAATGATCAACTTGCTTTACTAAAGTACGTGTACAAGGAGAGTTGGGGCAGTTTACGAGGCTGTTGCTGCGAACTGAAGCTAATCTGGAAAGGCAAACATAATCTGCAATGAGAGAGAGCCATCCCTGAGAGGGGTTAGGAGTCCAGTCAGCCAGGGGTGGGCAGGAAGTTCACAGTCCTCCCCAAACTTGCAGTTCGAGGCAGAAATCACAGGTTAAGAATGCAATTACTTTTTGTGTGAGTAATAGAGAGCTGATAGGCAGCCTGCTTTCAGGTGGTCCCATTAGAGA